CCTATTACCTTGCCTATTTTTGCATCTCTGGAATCATCACTGCAATAATTCTCTAAATATACCTAGCTGATGAATAATAAATCTAAAGTCACGATTCCATGTATATAATTCACTTATTTTTGCCTTTTTTTTTTTACTTCAGGCATGCAGTGGTTTTTTTTATACACAGCTAAAGAGGAATTCCAAGCTGAGGGATCTCAGTTGCGACAATTTTCACAACTACCCATCACCTGGGTGTACCTTACCCCTACAAAATGTCCTGCAACAGGATTTGTGACTTCCTGGATCACAACTTTCAGAAGAGTAGCCATGTAAACCTGTTGCAGAAAAACCAGCAGTCTTGAGGCCCTTTAGTACTACAGAATACACCTTCCGGGAATACAGTCCACTTCATCAGCTGCATGGATGATGAACTACATCCCATGGAAGCATATGTCTTAATATACTTATTCATCTTTAATTTATTTATTCACTTATTTATTTAAAACATTTATATCCCATCCTACATGAGAAAAATGTCCCAGGATGGCTTACAAAATTGTAACAACAACAAATAATAACAAAAATTATAACAATTAGTAACAACAACAAAACCACTGTAAACAACAAAAACATAGTATCAGCAAAAGTCCAAATCAAAATCAGAAGCAAAAGCAAAAAGAAAAAGCGACTGTGGATGTTAAACCATGTGGTTTAATGCGCCACAAGAATCTCTGTTGCTTTGGGATCACATACTGCACTAAGAAGCAGATCTGGTTCACATCAACTATCATTCCAAGTACAGGTTGGGTATGAGCTGCTGAATCCTGGATTGTTGTTGAATTGTGGGTTGTCATTATGTACTAACCCTGTACTACAGGTTGCTAACTATGAATAACTCAGGATATTGCATTAAGTCAGTGATAAAATAATGAAAAGTGAATGGTTCAGGCTTTTTTGCTGCTCTGGCTGGGTGGCTTTCTATCTGGGTTTGCGTAACAGAGTAAGCCCCAGTGGGCATCTGCAACCTTAAAAATAAGCCATGGGTTCTTGGGGTAGCTTGTTTGTGGAAAATAAGTCATCCTGCAAAGAGCTAATGAAGTTTACATGACAGTACAACTCACTCTGGCTAATCACCTACAGTAGGTAGTTGCGTCATGCAAGCCAGACCTAAAAACAGGCAAAAATGTACCAGACACATAAATCTGAACTTGTGTGAGGCAACTTCCTATATCCTAGGAGGGTATGAAGGTGCGTACCGTGGAAGGGCTGAGATTTCCAGATGCTCCTTTATTTAGATCAGATTTCTTCCATTGTGGTATCCTCTAGATGTCTTAGACCATGGGTCCTCAAACTACGGCCCATGGGCCAAATACAGCCCGCCATGGTCATTTTCCCAGCCTACCTCAGAGCTTTTGGACTCACTTGGAGAAAACAATCTCAGAACGAGTCCAAAAGCTCTGAGCCAGTGCAGGCATTCTATGAAACTCTTTCAGAGACTAGCAGAGAGCCGGCACATGCGGCAAATTGTAACAGCCCCCTTCAACTGCGCATGCGCTGGATCTTCCCCCTATTGCATGCATGCGTTTGCTCTGAATACAGAGCGGGAATATGGAGCGGGAATACAGAAGAGAGGAGGGTGGAGGGAAGAGAGAGAGACGAAGACACTAAAAAAAGATAGAAGGTAAGAAAATATAACTTTTTAAATCTATTTTCAACTATGTGAGCCATGTCCCCGGGCTGTGGGCCAAGCCGCGGCCACCTCACCAAGCCCAGAGGCAGACAGGCCGAGGCGGAGTGGGGCTGTGGCTCCCATGCCTCCGCCACGGCCTTCTCTGGGCAAGCCACCACCACTGTCAAGTGGCTGCCATGCTTCTTCCCCCCATGGCGGGGAGAGGCGGGAGGCACCCTGCTCGGCCAGCCATGGCCCTGTCCCTCACCTCCCCTCACCTTGGAAAGCCATTACCTTCCTGCTCGCGGCCCTCTCCTGGTCAGGGGAGCCACCCCGTGCCCATCTCTCCGGCCTCCCGCTCCCTCTCCCGGAGCCAGCTGAGCCCCTGCGTGGGGACCTTCCTCTGGCTCAGAAGCAGGGCAGTGGTGAGGAGCCAGGAAGGCCTTGACCAAGGCAAGTGCACCCTCATGGCTCCCCGTCGTGTCGTGCTCTCCCTTTCGGTGGACAGGGTGGCGTCGTCTTGGGCTTCTGCTGCAGCCAGAGCAGGTAGAGCAAACATCTTTAATCTTTTAATTAATTTATTTTTATTTTAATTAATTGTAATTAAATTATTTTTAATTAATTTTCATTGTAATTATTTTAATTAATTAAAAATTGTGCAGTGTGCATAGGAATTCGTTCATATTTTTTTCAAACTATAGTCTAGCCCCCCAAGAGTCTGAGGGACAGTGAACTGGCCCCATTAAAAAAAGTTTGAGGACCCCTGCCTTAGACCATAGCTGCAATTATCCCCAACAAACAAGGTTATGCTGGTTGGGGCTGATGGGGTTTGTACTCTAATTTACCTGGAAGGTGCCTAAGCAAGGAAGGTATCTTTACAGGTTGCATTTAGCATGGTGGTTCAAGTTTGGAGGGGGTTCCCAAAAGTGGGTGCCAGTATGAAAGCATGAAATGAGGATTAGAAGGTACTGCTCCATGGTTGCCACCAATATCTAAGTAGCTGTTAGGTGGTGGAGGTGCTTGGTGGAGGAAGCATGGGAGAGGTAGACACGGCAGCTGACTGGTGGGCGAGAGAACATCTTGAACCTGCTCCCCCCCCCCCCAGCTTCTTTGCTCTCATCCAGGAATGTTATTCTTGTAAAATGGATGTAGGACAGATAAACTAACTGCTATTGTACAGGACAGTATTGTATTGAAGGAGAATGTGCAATAAAACTGGGGGTTCTCTTTCTTTTGGCTACACAGAAGAAAAAACTGCACAAGGCAAAGGTACATCCTGAAAGTACACACCCTGTTGCAGCACCCATTTTACAGAAGGCAAACAAGCGGGACCAAGCAACTTGCTGATGTCCACAAATAATTGGAAACAAAAACTTTCCTAAAATATATTTTAATTAAGTTTCCTCAATTGATTTCTCATCCAGTTTTTCTCCAATTAACTCATTTAATTCTTTTTACACACCTTCCTCCCAAATTAACTTCCCCTCAATTATTTAATTTTCCCCTGAAATGGCCACTACTACTGAATCTCTCCCACTAATCTCTGCCAATTTCCTTTCACTTAGGTGGGCTACCCAAAGAAATGTGTACAAATTAAATGCCCACATCCCTGTAGATCATATTTAGTAAAAAATAATAATCTATTTTGAAAGGTTCATTCTTGTGGGCTTATTAAAGACATCTAAGATGCTATACTATGCATCTTTGGAAAGAATACGTTAACTACTATGGAGTGGGGGAATTAATATCTTTCATTTCTGGAGATATTAGCTGGAAAATCAGAAATGCTAAAATGGTTTGCGGTGCTGAGAAAGGTCAGTTCAATACTTAAATTCAAGAGGATTATATTGCTTAGTGGGCATACTATTATGCCCTCCTTTTGGTGCACCATATTTTGCCACTTTTTACTAGTGATTTTCAATAGACAACTTGGACCCTGCAACTGTGCACAGATTAAGTTATATGCAGCCTGGTCTTGTTGATTTCTCACTTATTCCCTTTCAGTGCTTCCTTTGACAACCAAAATAGACAAAGAAGTTGACCAAGAAACATTACACATATGGGACAGCAGTAAGAATGCACTTGCAACAGACTGACAAAAATAATCCTAATGAATTACAAACCCAGTTGTGAAATTGTTAGTGCTTCTGCCAAAATAGGATCCAGTTGCCTATTTTCTGAGCCTCCAACCCATAAAACAACAAAGGGACAAACAAGATGGTCCCTGGGATTCTTGTCAGATATGGCTGGAGAGCTAAAGGGGGAGGATAAGGGATAACAACCCACAGTTAGTCCACTTTCCATCAGGCATATACTGTGCCTGTTTGCTGTAGGTTGTTCAGCAAACATTCAACCAACTGTGACTTATTTGCAAGATGATTCAGTGTGATGATGTATAAAGCCATCCTTATCCTCAGCAACTCTGATACTCCTGATGGCTTCCTCATCACCTGATCTTTTCAACTGGTAATGCGATAGATTCAATCTGGAAGCACCTATGCACAAAGCATGTTTTCTACCACAGGTCCCACCTCAGGCAAAAATAATTCATCTGGCAATGCAGTCTGTTTTCCCAATTCACCTATCAAGGCTTATTGAAGAAGAGAAACATGATTTTAGAATTCAACGCGGAGGCAGTAAATTGTACAAAATGACAAAGAACCCCTTGGGAACATACAAAGTGCTTTTCCTATGCTGCTGTTTAAACAATCCCACCCGGCCGCTGCTGTCTTCAGTCTCCTAACCCCATCCAGTGATCAGAGTACCAAGATTTCTGGTCAATGCGGCTTGCCGCCTCCCAAGCAATCACTTGTAAACTTTTCACAAAATACACTTCCCCGGCTGAATCATTTAGGAGCAGCACGTGCGAAAACCCTTTCACTTGTACCTCTATCGCCCGCTTATGTCACAGCTTCAAATCAATTGAAACCCTCGCTGCTGAGCATCTGTCGAGATATTACGTGCCAGATTTTTGCGGGGGTTGTGTGTGGGTGGGGAGGGGTCTTCCTATCAGCCTCTTCTTTTATTTCTATTTCCCACCCAGTGTATTCAACTGCACGAGCATCCAATGCGCCCCCACCTACAATCTGTGAACTTCTCCCAGAATGTTTCTAACGCAAAACAATAAAAATATGAAAATTCCTGTTTTCAGCTGCATAAAAAATTAAGCTTGCGGCTTAATTAAGCTGGCGGGGGGGGGGAGCAACTGCACAGATTGAGTCCACCTGCGCATCTGAGCAAACACTACAGTTCCACGTGCAGTAACTCCATGACTGACTACACGACAGTTGGCATCCGGTCCAACGACCGCGTTTTCTGCCGCCCTTGCCCTTTGTGCCGACTTACTCACCAAGTGCAGAGCTTTTCCTTCGCGAGCTTCAAGAGGCTGGCCGTGCGGCAGAACCGCGGTCGCGGCGGTGGAGCAGCCTCCGTCCGCATCGGCAGCGGCGGCGTGGCGGCCGGGTTGGCGTTGTCCAGCTCCGGAGACGCGCTTCTTTCCATAGCAAGCAAAGCGAGCGCTGAGACCAGCGTAGCGATCCGGCTCCGAGACGAGGCAGCGAGGAAAGGGAGGGGGAAAGAGATCGGCCCGGGAGGTGGAGCGCTGCTGTTGCAGTTCCTGCTCCTTCCTGGAGCAACTTCGCTCGGCCCCTTTGTGTGTGCGCGCGATGCTGTCGGCTCGTCCTGCAGCAAATCATCAGGGCCGGCGATCAATGTCTCCAGACATAGGCCGGGTAGAGAAGCCTTTCTCCGGCGGGCACTCCGCCAGATACGTTGGGACTACAACTCCCAGAATCCTCGGTCAGCGCAACCGCCCTCCCAACGCACCTGGAGAGGAGCTCGACGTGGAGAAGAATAGGCTTGAGGAGCACAGCGCCGTCTGTCTGGTTGGGGCGGCTGTGCTTGGGCGGCCAAAAACCGCATCTGCAAGATACGTCGCTGCTCTGACCTGGCTGACCTCGAGGCTCGCCTTCAGGAGTCCCGGCTTGCTAAAATACAGTGGTCGAACACGTGGGAAACACGCCATGGTCCCTTCTCTTCCTTTCCGCCTTGCTGTGGCATACCTCGCAGTTGCTTCTACGTTCCCGATAGGTTAAGCTACGCAAACTCCCAACCCCAACCTTTCTGAGCCTTACGGAGGGCACATTTTGAGAGGGTCCTGAGCACTCTCACAAAATGGCTGCCACGGTGGTGGGGGGGGGGGCCTTGGTTATTCATAAAATGGCTGCCAAAATAGGGAAGCCCCTTGTAAAATGTATTTGTGTATGCATTTATTTATTTCAAGTGTAACCCCATGCATGTTGGGAAAGAAGGGAAAAAAATTATAATTTCTAGGATACTCGTTATCCGGCTGGTGCATGCTGGGAGTCGTAGGATTTGTTTTCTATCTGAATAATTATAGAATTGCATACTTCCCGTACTTAAACAGGAAGCTGCCCAGTAGGTAGAGTTCCTCTGAAAGGTATACCGAGACCATGCAGTTTTTCACCAACTTTTAAAGCAACTTAAATCTGTTTTGGTTGCCCTGATGCTAATTACATTTGAAAATAGAGGCCACATTCATATGGAAAAAGTAATGACCTTAAGGAAAAATAATAAACATCTGTGACCATATATAATTCCAGCTAGCAACCCCTGCTTCTAATATGTTTAAACAAAAAGAATAAAGAAAAGTCACTGCAGCTAGCCATGTCTACTATTATATTTCTTACATCTATATCCCAACTTTCTTCCTTTGAAGGAACTCGGGGCAGCCTACAGAGTTCTCTTCCTCTCAGTCTTAAGCCCACAATAACCCTGTGAGGTAGGCTTGGCTGAGAGTTTGTGATTGGCCCAGAATTTCCTAGCTCAGCACCTTTGCCTTATTGGCTGAGTGAGGACCAGAACGTAGATCTTCTAGATCCTCAGCCCAACACTCTAACCACCATGGCACTGGCTAGTGTGGGCAGAGAAGTGGATGCCAGCATCAGCTCAGCACCCCTTCCCTGTGACCCCCTGACAAATGACAATGTGTGTGTGGGTGGGAAGGAATGGGGCAGGGGTGCTGATCTGCTCTGCTTGATTTTTGACTTCATTCTCACCTGCATCTGTAGCCAAAAAGACTGTTGTTTCATGTACAGCAAGGATGACACTGCAAGCTGTTAGTCCAAGGAGTCATGAAGCACTGTCTTATTGCATCCGGGTCAAAGGTAAAGGACAGGAAGTATAAGAGCAATGCGATATTGCCATTGGTAGTTATAGTAACTCCATAACAACTGTAGCCCTGATGGCAGGTGGGATCTAGCCATTGAGTGTCAATGCCTTGAGAAAAAGCAACTCCAAGCAGCTGGAAGACAGTGTACGCAAAATCCAGCAGCTTACCCCTTGCTCCTGCTGATGCTGGGCAGAGGGGAAGACAGATTTTCTTGTGAGCAATCCAGCTTTCCTCATCAGTTCTCCAAAGTGCTGGTTTGGCACTTTGGCAGCTGTCTTCTGCCAGAGTGCCTTGGCTTAACTGCCAACATTTTCTGCTTAACTGCCAACATTTTGTCGAGTGCTCTCTTATTTTTGCCTTGACTGTGGGTGGTTATGTTTGGCTTAACCATGATGGTTGTATCAGCCAAACCCAGATGACACAACAAGGCACAGGGGGCTTATTAAACTCATCACAAGCCTTGGCTTCATAAGGCACCCCCTGGGATGCAGGGTGGATTCAGATAACATGCTAAACTGCTCCCACCTCCTACCCCTGGTGGCTTAATGTGTACTGTGAATTTAATCCTTGCATAGAGAAAGACCCTGCTCTGTTTTGGTGCCCTGTTTCTGGAACACACTCTTCATGGAAGAGTGATAGGGGACTCAGCAGGAGCCACAAAATTCCCTTGGGGGTCAAATTCTGGGTCACATGTTGCCTCCCCGTGACTTCCAAATGTACAAGTTGAGCATAGTTTAAACAGTCAAGCATCCCTAAATTCCCTAATGCTATTACTTTACAGCGTTCTAAAGATTTGCAACTCCCTGGGGTCCTCATTTGAAAACAGGTCTGCCCCTCCCTACCTCATCCTGCCTGCCACACTCAAATGTTGCTTTCCACCTCCCCCTGGTTTAGAGGGACTCTGATTCAGATGAAGCATCTGCAAACATTTAACCTTTGGACATGGAGCTGTAATTTCCTTAACCAAAAAGGCACTTGGTAGCTTTGCCATTAAACAACAGTTGCACATTCTAGTCCCCCTTACTCTCTCCAGTTCCAACCATTCCCTCCCTCCCTCCCTCCTATTCCCCCACCCCTGCAAAGCCTACACAAGGCAGCTTACAACCACTTATAAACAAAACTTACAGTAACCAGCCTTTTAAGATCAAAGGCAGGGAAAACAACACAATAGAAACAGCAGTGGCATACTTAGACTTAGTTTACTTAGTAGTGGGTGAAGACAAAGGACTTGTACAAAATGTTTCAAGACTCAGGCATATACACAGGTTATTTTTCCTACCTCAAATGAACAGCACCACAGAAATGCATAAACACAAAGGGAAGGATTTGGCATTCAAGGAAGCTGAATACACATGAACTTAGCTGAGCTCTCCCAAGCAGGAAGAATATGACTGGGCAGCTTTGATAAAGGGTTTATTCTGGATGTTTGAATCAGGACATCTTCTTCCCTCTTGAATGAAATACAGATTGTCTTTTCTATTATTGTTTCTGAAACAGGTAAATATGTGTGGTAATGCAAATAAAAGCACAACATAGTCTTGCTTCTCAATCTCTCCCATTTAGGCTCTGACAATGCAACATTTTTCCTTGTTATGCAAGTGTTTTGGAATTAATCACCACTCTATCTCTTAATCATTGTTTGTGTATCCCCATAATATTCTCTCCCCTTGAAAGGCTAACCTTTTCAAGGCAGCTCACAACATATTAAAGGATTAAAATTTCATTCGAACATTCTGCAATTCATAAAGCCACACTCCAAACATATCATAACAGCAGCACTTGAATGATATTGGCAGAATAAAATGTTATAAAAATAAAGTAGCAGAGAAGCTGATAGTAGGCGGAGGGAGGTTAAGCTACTAAAATTGTACCCCAAGTCTCAGTCCAGGCCACACCAAGCACCAGTTGCATGTCACAAGCCTCATGATTCATACTGGTTGCACAACTAAATGTTAAAACAACACCTCCCCTCCCCATTTTAAAGGTGGAAGACCCACGTTAGTGCAGGAACCAGTCTTTAATTTTAACTTTAATTTTTTGAAAATCCTTTCAGCCAAATACTCAGGTAAAACATACATTACATTTTGTTGCAGGGCTTTGCTTGTTTCCTCAGTTTATGTGAGCAGTATTGCTTATGAAACAAAATAGCATCAACAGGCTTGTTTTGCAGAAGTTAGGGGATGACAAACCTAGTAAGTGGGGGAGTCTCCAGTCCTGGCTCCAGGTTTAGAAGGTCCCTTGGAAAAGACACCTTCAATAGTGCCTTGTCCACAGGGCCTTCCTCGTGGGTCTACCTTCTAACTACCGTTGTCACCAGCCGCTCTTGCTCCTTCTCTTCTTTCCCAACATTGCTACCACTTGCTTGCATGGTGGGTAGAAAGCCAGGGAGCAAGCAAACAATGGAATTTACTGCTCCTTCTCACCACCTTGCTGCACCAATCATAGCACCATAGATTTTAGATGAGGTCTGACTAGTGCTGAATATAGGGGAACTAGTACTACTTGTGATTTGGAAGCTATGCTTCTGTTAATACATTCCAAAATAGGATCTGCCCTTTTTTGGCTACATTGCATTGTCAGCTCATATTTAGCTTGTTCTTTGCAACAATTCCAAGATCCTTCTAATTTGCAGTATTGTTGAACCAAGTGTTCCCATCCTGTATCGATACATCTGGGTTCTTTTTCCTAGGTGGAGGACTGGGCATTTGTCCCTATTGAATCTCATTTTGCTGCTTTCAGCCCAGCTTTCAAGCTTATCTAGATCCCCTGGATGTTTTTTCTGGCTTCCAGGATGTTAGCTGTTCCATCTCAGTTTTCTCCACCCAAAGTGAGAGGCGGGAGAGCAAACCTGCAATGATGAGGCAAAGACAAACTTCAGAGTGCTTTTGTTACTGAGTGGGCCCCTGCTAGGATGTGGGCCCTTGGCAAGAGCTCCACCGTGTTTCCCTTCAAAGCTGGCACTGGGAGAATCTGAACCAGCCCAATGAGGGCTGCACATGCTCAGCAGTCTCAGATGACAGCCGTGGAGCCATGGGACAAGGCAATGGAAGGAAATATCCCAGCAAATGGCAACTGTGACTGACTGGCACAGGGTTAGGGTTAGGGCAGGGGGCGGCAACCTTAAACACTCAAAGAGCCATTTGGACCCATTTCCCACACAAAAGAAAACACCAGGAGCCACAAAAAACTTCTGACATCTAAAATTAAGATAACACTGCATATATCATTTTTTACCGTAATGCTATGTATATCTTCATTATTTATTTATTTATTTATTTATTAAAACATTAATAAAATATTTATTAATTAA